ACGCCATTTCGTTTAATACCCTGAAAATATTGTTTGTCAAATGTCAACCAAACCGAGATTTTTTTATTATTTATTACCAGCGCTGCAATAAGCCAAATGAATTGAAAAACGAAATGTTTTTTTTGTTCTGTTCAGTTATTGGTGTCTTGAGCCAAACATTCATCTCACTGCACCTCCAATCATCATGGTTGGCTACGTACAGCGCAAAAGGAGTTCAACATACATACATACTGCACTTGCGAACCCAGTTAAATCGCAGGTGACTCCTTTGAAATCGAACCCAGGATCTCTGCGATGCTGGCTCAATTTTCTGACCCCTGAGCCAACCGGCCACCTCTGTTGCAACCATTTGAGTGTGCAATATGTTATGCTAATCACTTTCCCTTGAGTTGAATACAAAAACACTGAAAAATAATATACAGCGAATTAATTATATAGAATCGGGGAAATTATAATTGAAATTGACATGTGAAATTATTGTTGTGATGGCTAATATTGGATATGTCTAATTATTTGGTAATTATTTTGTTTACGACATGAGCTACAAATTTTGGATCATTCTGAGCACTGAAAAATAAATGCTAATTGCACATTGCAGTCACAATCTTGCATTAAATGTAGGTGAGAATCATTGTATCACATCCTTATATTTTCACTTATGTTTGGTGCTTTGGCCAAGAACATCAAACAATGGTTCACTTTCAATATTTAATTCCCACATGACAGCAGGCAGTGACACTTTGATAATCACAGCAATGACCTGATGCAAGTTGACTCAATTAACCTGTACAAACTGACCCAAAGCTGGCTGAGAGAGTGGATGCCCACTGCACTTAAGCAGAAGTGTACTGAGATTGTAAATGTTGTGGATTTGCTCTCCAACACACAAATGTGCTGTACTAGTAACGAATTGGCATGTTCTGTTTACGTGACAAACCTTACTAAATTGGCTGTGTCCGGTGGTGGCGGGTTTAACGACATTCATATTTACGCGATCTAACCCAAAAAAAAACTATATTATTATGGTTCGCGAAAGCCTACGTGTTAAACAGAAGTGTACTGAGGCAGCATTCAAAAGGGGGGGGGGGGGGGTCAGATGAAAAGAGAGAGGGGGTGATCGTCACATTAAATAATAATGGTCACATTGGTGATGGAGATGATGGATAGCAATGAATTATGGTGATAATAATTTTGTTGGTGGATACGATGGATTGGTGATTGTCGGCTCGCGTAACAATGGCAATGATAGTGATGGATTAATGATGGCGGATTATGGTAACAATTAATTGTAATAAATGATGGTGATGTTGGTCATGATATTGGTGATGGATATGATGGATAGATGATGATGAATTATGGTAAAGATGATGATGATGACGATGATGATTGAGTACTGTGGCTGATGGTATAGATGGTGATTTGATGGTGGATGTGTTTTATGATGATGATGATGGGTGGCGATGGCTCATGATGATTGTTACAAATACTTTATTAACAGTGGCAGTCAGAAAGACACAGGAAGACACAGAGAGATGGCGATGCTGGATGAGAGCGAGGACAGAGACGGTGGCATACACAGGGACACACATACACATGGAGAAACATAAAGACTGGGAGAGACCGGGAGACGACACTGTGATCGAGGCCCTACCATCGAGCTTCAACACAGCAGGGGACATAGGAAGCAAGCGCAGGCATGATGCAGAAATCACTTTGTGTGGGTTTATATTATAATTATGTTGGTGACCAAATGGCCAAAACGATGTTTGGCAGCTCAAGTTTTGCTAAGGGGGAGGATGACCTGCTTTACGGTGGAGGGGGTCCCTTGGTTCTCACTGGCTATGAACCTGCACGCACACGAGCTCAAAGACAGCATTGTAAGCACTGTAGCAGGCCATCAAGCTACCGAATACATTTTTATTACAGTAGCAGTGCTGCAAATTCACGAGAGAATGTACAAAGGGCAGTTTCAAAACTCTTTTTTACTTTACGATATAAACTATGAATGAGATGGATTATTGTGGCACTCCATTTCCCATCTGATTGTCTTTATTCTGCAATCACTGTCACAAATTATTGCTGCAATATATGCAATTTAGTAGTCAATGTGACAGAAATATACAAAGGTGTCTTATTAAAGTGGGTGTTTTTTTTAAGCATATTTAAATGAGTAAGCAGTGACTGTTGCTGCACATATTCAAATGCATTCACTGTTGCTGATGGGTGAAGTCGCTATGAACTGCTTGACTGGATATCAGCATGCGATATTTTGCGATTGGCATGAAAAGTATATCTGAAGTTCAAACTTCAGCGTTCACATATAGTATATCAACATTTTGAGTGTGATTAATGCAATGTCGTATGTGCAAAGATAAAGCTTTGATTTGTATTTTACCAAGTAAGGCCCACTGAGCTATATAGCTCTTTTTCAGAAGCGACCTGACCACAAATTATAGCTCACCGAAGTGGCTTATCATGTGGAATGTATAGCAACCAAATACTGTAAACGCATGTTTCTTAATTTACAATTGGTATGCATGTGTATATCATATGTTTATACATGCCTCTTGCCAGTAACTGGGTCTAGATGCCACTGACGAGCTAATGTGAACCCATTTAGGTCATGCTGCTAGAATTATGGAAAATTATGATGCCATGCCAAAGCAATACACCACATAGACATACGATTATAAAAATAACTGCCGGAAATGTTTTTCCACTTAGACGTGTGTTTCGGATATTGACAGGTATAACCTCGTTTGATGTGCAACAGCAGTTGTTTAATTCGGAAAATCCATTAACTCAAATTCTCACCTGCCGACTGACCTATTACACGAGAACGATTGTATAGTTTTGCGATGGTTCAGTTCATCTTCGTAAATTAAGTGGATTATATATAGACGCTGTTAAATTTCAAGACAAAATGGAAACCGCCATCATTTAATATTTTCTTTACTCATGTTTTATTACTGATGTGACAGATTATAGAAACATTTGTGATTTAATATAAATCATGTTTAAAATTATGCTTCCATGAATGAGAATAACTTTCTTAAAGCATACTATTACCGTTTTTCTTCTTATTAAAAATGCTGTCTGTGTGCATCTAGGTGTTAATTGGGGTAGTTTCACCCATCAGCAAATCCAGGAGCTTTATATGCCTCCCTGTGGCTGTGGGGGCCCATTCAGCATTTGCATGGATGGCATAAAAGTAATTTCCTGCCCAAATGAGCATTGAGACAGGACTCATCTCCTTTATACAGGCCTGATCCAGTGGTGGAAATGCCACATTACTGTGGTGCCACAAGTCTATAGGACACACCCTGTGGACCTTTCCGCAGAGCGCTTATTATTTGTATTGATTCAAGATGGGCTGAGCCAACCCCTCACCAGGATCTGAACTCGCAACCTTTTGATTCGGTGCTACTCGCTCTGCCGCTGAACCACCTGGCTGAAGCTATGCGGTTTCTATGACTATGATATTGTTGGTGACTTGTATTCTCAGCAGTTGCTATTCCTGAGGTATCAAACAATCTGAAACCACAAATACGGGATATTTTTCCAATTGATGATTTAAACACAATCGATATCTTTCTCAACCACACTCGTGTACGGTATTTAAAACATTACTCTTTAGTGGTAAAGCCTTGGTCTAGTGCATGTGCGAGACACCCACAAAGTGTGAATTCTAGCAACCGTACACCCACCACCAGGTGAGTTGGCGTGGCGCTCTTATAACCAAGGATTTTTATTTGAACAGCGTGCACATGCTGTGCCTACATAACAAGCACAATCTCGACAGACTCATGCTCTCTCCACCTCTAACTCCCTCTGCTGCCTGGCACTGCTTTCCCCATCCACCTAGGAACTGTTTGCTCCCATCCATTCAAAAGCGGTGAAGTGCTTGCACGACATAAACATTCTACACTCAAACACACAACATAAACATATCACAATATTAATAGTAACCAGACGCCATACTGTGACTACAGCGTGTTTGTAAATGCTATTTAGGAAACAAAACAAATTAACAGTAGTGGTGAAATGCTAAAGATGTGGTTATGAATGTATTAACAGCACTTCCACTTCAATGTGCATGAATCCAGAGCCTTCATAATGATATATCCACAAACTCTGCGCGATAATGTGCAACTATTTGAGCCTTTAATAAATTCCCCAATCCATTAATGCCTAATTGACCTGCTGTCAGCTGCGAAAAGGATTACAATAGTTTAACGACCTAATTTTAGTGGATTAGCTAAAACATGCGACAATACAGCAAAGACTCGGTTCTCCGAAGGATTCTTTGGATTTAGTGAAAGAGTCCAAAAGGTGAAGGCAAAAACAATTTTGAAAATATAGCCGCTTTATGAGACAACATGACTGAAACATAAACAACATGAATCCCGGGATAATTGTTTAAACATTATGGAGATATACAAAGGTTATGTTCAAATACAGAAACAAGATTATTGTCCATTAGTAAATTCATACTTGTTTCAATGACACGAAAAAAATGTACCAAATACAAAAATTAAACTTAACAAAAAAAATGTGTTGGATGATGCACGATTTACAACTATCCAAATTATTTTATCAATTACAACACGGGATCTATTGAAAGACTTTGAAATTAAACAGGAAGCAAACAGCTTTTTCTGGATTTATTTCTCATAATTATTTACAGTAATTACCATTTAACGTGACAGCCTCTACTCATTCGTACATAAGAGTCTAATGAATAATTGAACAAAATAAAAATAAGACAGCACGCTGTTCTTTGTAATGACACAGACAGAGCTGATGCTTAAAACTGATTTTCTGGTATATTACTGGTATAGCTCAACGCCGCTTCAGGAATGTGGGTGTAATAATGATGCCTGTGCTCAGTCGCATTCAAAAACACATTTCCGCATCAATAGTACTCACTATTACAAAGGTAGACGCAGTATAAGTTTCTCAGCACTATATACACTCAAATGTAGTGGATGCACACTTACCTTTCATAAGTAAGATAACAAGGGTCAGCGACTGGTGAAGGGCACCTAATATCCGACACGAAGCCTGAGTCTTCTTGTTGATTGCCATGGTAAAGTTTTCTGGATGCCCAGTCACATTAGTGGATTAGTACGACGGCGTCAAGAGGAACAGAGTCTCTGTCCGACCCAGAATGTGTGGCCGATTTTACTCTGCACTGCTGACCGGTGATTGAAGAAGACACATGCGCGACAGTTAGCCGGCCGCTCTTGGCACGTCTTGTTCGATGACCGTGTAATTAACGTCGACACATTGAAAATAAGGACGGGAAAGATGTCACGAGAACAATCCCCCCCCCCCCCCCCCAAAAAAAATCCACTTTTCGAAGAAGGCTCAACAAGCTTCGCGTTGACTGTCCGACGCTTCGTCCATTTACTTATCGAGACTGTGGGACAGCCCCGAGTGTTGAGCTCGCCGCGATTGCTTGCTTGCTTGCCCTCTCTCTCTCTCTCCCCCACGTTCTGGTTGCCTGGACGTCCAGCGAGCGGAAGAATCTTCTTCTGCTTAAGTCCAATGACCGAGTTGGAGAAAATAAGACATGGAATGCGCGCACACGAGCTTAAAAGGGCACCTTCATTAATTCACCGGCTGTTTTTTTTTTGTGTGTTGCCTCCCAGTGGCGGTACAGCCGCGTGCAGATCTATACACGCTGAAGCGCCCTGCGAATTCCGCCAGTGCATGTCTCGGGCACATGATGATGATGATGAGGTTGCCGCTTGCGTTCGTTTTGGAAAGGGAGGCGCACTGTGGCGCTGTTAAGGATGCATCCCGGCGAGGCGGGTGGAGCGAAGCGGAGCAACGCGCACACGCGCGAGAAATGCGATGCAGTCAGCGCAGTGTCCCCGCGAGCTCCGTGCCACACAGCCGCCCCGTCGTCATCTTTTTACGGGGGATATGCGCATAGATTACAGAGCTCCGCGCGGCATTAACACAGGAGGGATCGCATTACAGGTCGAGGCAGAAACCAAACATTAATTCGATTTGCTCCCGTTCGTGGGAGTTGACCTTCTTGTGATTTTGCAGTCGGAAGCGAATGATGAGCAGCTCTCTCTCTCTTCGCTTGCCTATACCGCCAAGCGCTTGTGTGCGTCCGTGCACATTTTGCAGTCACTCTCTCGATCGCACTCTCATGGCTCGCTGTCCCTCCCTCCCTCGCCCACTCTCGCACTCTGCTGCTGTTCGGGCAGCTAGCATTGGCTTAAAAGCGAATAACAATCCTATTACAGTCACATCGATGGCTGCGAGAACAGGTTTTCGTGTTGCACTGCTCTATTATTGGTTTGTGTTTGCTACAGATGTAGGCATTGAACGTGGGACGTACATGCACACATACACACGTATTAACACAATTTTAACAAGAATGAAACATAAATAAGAAAACATTGGCTATATCGCAAAGCCACACTTGCTTAACTCCTGCACAGCCTGCTCTAGCTCACCATATGTAAAGCTCTTAAATGAAATTTAAATCGATTTTCATTGTACGTCATAGAAAAACATTATTTCATACGACCTGTTAATTATACTCTTTGGTTCTTTCGGTAAGTCGAAACGTCGTGATGTATTTTTTTTTATTTCTACCTACGTGACTTACCGAAATAACCAAAGAGGATGGATTCCTGCAGTCACGAAAGCTTCAAATCAAGATTGAGCTGTTAATTAAAAATGTACATCAAAATATGAATTATGCATTACCTAACAAAGCAAATAAAACATGGACCAATCAACGTGTATTTTAAAAGTTCTGCAATTAACGAACAGTTGCTTTTCAGCAGATGTGATGGCTTTATTACGACAGGTTTAAGACATTTTAAGCACGAGTGCTTAGAATCTGGGCTGTGGGTGGACATGCAGAACCGTTGTAAACCCTCACTGCATTCACGTCTGTCTTAACAAGCAAGCATCCATACATACATGTAATGTGCTTCCATAAACGTGCCATATGCCGATGTACATGAGCAGTTGTCTCTGCATACTTTATTGTATTCCATAATTAATTAACCAAAGGACAAGTGGTTGTCCTTTCCCTGACCGATTGCATGACAATCTTGCCTATTAATATCAACAATATCCTCATATGTATGAAACAAAGAGTGCTACTACAGTGGAAATAATACAAACATAATGCACTGCAGATTGTTGGAACAAACATATTAAGCAGCAACTATGTATCTGTACATGGAATCGTTAGCATTGAATTTAGTGAAGAAAAGCAAAAGCCACAATGATTCAGTGATGTTTTAAACGTCGTAAGTTAATTCCAATAGATAATAATTATGATTGTTTTGCTATGTTTAAACACGTTTCATAAAGGAAATGCATTTGGCTTTACTTGCTCTAACATAATGAATGCCTTGGAAGCGTGGACATTACCAGTCGATCCAGCAGAGGGTGCTTATTTTAAATAAACATACGGGTTCGACAATCACAGCGGTTATTTGTTCGACTAAATTCGAGCACAAACATGCTCGAATTTAGTGCATCGTTTGCCCAGCTACATTAAAAGCGTCGTCAGAGATGGCACCCACTTTATGGAGAGCATATTATCCATGTATATATGTATGTTGAACTTCATTCGCATCGTACGTCACCAATCGTGCAAATCGGAGGTGCGGAGAAGGACAACAAACTAAACACAAAACGCAGTTCTAAAAAAAACAATTAACCTAAACTCTTCTTATCTGCTAGGAACAACCGATTATGAGAAGCAAACAATACTATTTACAGAAGTGACACAAGTATGTATTTTTGCACATGGCAATTCAATCAAAATATCAAGTTATAATAAATGACATATGTTTCGGCAGTGACAAGCACCATTTTTTCAAAAGGGGTTTGTTTGGGATGTGATACATCTAAAAATCGTCAAAGTCTAAAACTGAATAATTACATTGCTTGTTTATGCGATTATGCTATCTTATCTTAACGATATAAAAGGGAAATTTGTTAATGTTTGTCTGTTCAAAATGTTGTGTACTTCCGGACATGCAACAAACTTGAAATTTGCCATGTGGGTACTTTCCAGACTGTACACCATGCAGAAATTATAAAAATAGACTTTTGTATTTTTTTTGGGGGGGGGGGGGGGGGGCGCAATAATGCATATATTTTGCACGGCAAGTGAGCTGTGAGGTCACATCTGTCATGTCACCCGCGCATGCGGAAGCGTCACGCTCTGTGGCTGCTCATGTCACGCATCCCTCCCCACCAACCCTCCGCGAGTAAAGTGCCATACAAATGTGTTGCAGGTCTAAGGCGTTCTTCGCGCAACATTGGTTTATTATTTGAGTCGTTTACTGCCGTACGCACCCTGAAAGTTGTGTGTGTCTGCAGCAAGCGAGTGTATGTGTATCTATGGACGCGCGCGCGTTTGTGTGTGGGGGGAGCAGTCGTTTAGTGGTTAGCGCTACGCTGCGCTACGAACCCGGCAACCCGAGTTTGAATACACCACGACTGTGAGGGTGGGCACAAGCCGGCGTGAGTAGGTTAAACGTTGAGTTTTATAAGGGCACCACGGGGTGACCAGCCCCTCCCCACCCAGCCACCCACCACCCTTCCCTCTCCACCCAGCCCCACCCCTCCCATGTTTGGATGCACGACGGACGGACACAATAATCCCCTGTTGGCTGGTGTAACCAGGAGGTTCCTACCTGTATTAGAGTGCTTATCGTTGAGGCAGAGATGCCAAGCAACGTCTGTGCAGAATTGCCAAAGCGCTCCGTCATTGACAAAGTCGACAAAAGGTCACCAATCATCAACTTGCAAATGTGTATCGAAGCCCAAATCCCAAAACCGAATATTATATGCAACATAAAGAAGTAACTGTCCCTGCACACTATAACTGTAGTTTTACATATCTGGTTAAACAAATAATGTATATGTGAAATAAAATGCATGCATGTATTTAAGTTGATATTTTAAGAATGTCTTGTTACCTTAATTGTATGTATTTTATTTCATATTCATCTGATAAGCTTTGTGCCAAGTACTATGAAGGACGTTTAAGGCCTGATCCATATATAAAAGTTAACATTAATTGTATTGTCATCCATCGCAAAGCAACAGACATAATTCAAATCAGTATGTAATGTGAAGGAATGACATTTTTATTGATTAGTTTTGATAACAGTTGTAATTTTTTTAGACTAACAATCTGGGATGCTGGCTTGCTTACATGAATTATAATTTGCAGCACTGTAATCCTTTACGGCTTCATTAGTGAGTCTTGTATAAGGGTGTTCAAATTAGTTGAGTGGTATATTCAGACTGCCAAGTGGGGATAGCTGTGATGATGGCAAAGGGGTAAGTGTGATTGGAAGGTGGCAAGTACAGTGTCTCAGAAATAAATATATCATATACTAGCGGGAAGTACCCGGCGTTGCCCGGGGAAAACATATACGTCAAAAATTTTCTTAAAAACATAACATATACACACAAATGTACTAAGCTATTGTTAAAGACCGGCGTGCTGTTTGTCTGTGCATTTATCCGTCAATAAAATTATAAGAGGCTTGCAGAAATCCCAAAAGTTATAGAAAGTGGGGGTAAATAGTTGATCTAAAAGGCATACATACCTACACACCCTACATACAATAGAGTCAGTAGTATCTAGTGACTCTATAGTAGTATCTGGCTCTCCAGTAGTAACTGGCTCTACAGTGATATGTACTGACTATATAGTAGTATCTATTGACTGTACAGTAGTTATCTACTGATCACAGTTACCACTGACTGTAGTAGTAATTACTGACCGAAGTAGCATCTACTTACCCTACAGTAGTATCTACTGACTCTACAGTAGTGTTTACCGACTCTATATGAGTAACTACTAACTCTATAGTAGTATCTGCTGACTCTATAGCAGTATCTGCTAACTCTATAGCATTATCTACTAACTCTATAGTGGTATCTACTGATTATGCAGCAGTATATACTGAATGTAGTGGAATCTACTGACTGTAGTATTATCAAACTGACTAAAGTGGTATATATCGGCTCTACGGTAGTATCTACCGACTCTATAGTAGTATCTAATGACTCTATAGTAGTAACTACTGACTCTGCAGAGGTATCAAATGACTTTTGTAGTGCCTACTGAATCGATATTAGTATCTATCGACTCTATAGTAGTATCTACTGACTATAGTTGTAACTACTAACGTCATTGTAGTATCTGCTGACTCTATAGTCGTATCTACTGACTCTGCAGCAGTATATAGTGAATGTAGTGGAATCTGACTGTAGTGTTATCTACCGACTATAGTAAT